TGCTTTTTCATTTTAAAGTTCATAGAGGCTAAAACTACTATCCATTCAAATTTATTTATAAAATGTGTTTATTTGTTCTAAATGTAATACCTCGAGCTTTTTGGTGAAATTTGGCATGAATTAACTTTTTTCGGGGAGAATTAACTTTTATGATTTCGTGAACCAGCAAGATCGGGCAATGAAGACCGAGTGGTATGGGGTATAAATGTTCTTTGTATCTGGTTTTTTTTTTCGTTAAAACATGAAAATGCCTAATTTTTATTACTGTAGTCAAAGGGGGATAAAAAACTTATAATTTAAATACCCCTTACTTTGATTACCCATTACTAAACATTGATTTGACAGGATTTGAGCCCAGACCAGCAAAACTGTCTACCTGTGTCTCTTAGAAACACTACCTGTACTAGACTTAACACGCCTTGTTCCTAACATAACAACACCTTGTTCCTAATCTATGCTCTATTCCTTGTTCACCATGCAGTACAGGTCTATGGAGATAATTGTAGCAATATTGCCATTGCTAGTTCATTGTCAAACTGGTTACGATAACTATCCTCACGCCTCTTGTGGAGGTTTTGAAGTGCTTTTTACTACAATACATTTTATTTAGACTAGCTTGTTCAAAGTTGGATGTTATTACAGAAGCGATACGGATGCGCCGGGCGGCCGGTCAGAACGACACGGAGGCGATGCGTCAAATGCTCGAGTCCGGGATGAGTCCCAACGTGTCAGATGATTACAGACGCACTCCCTTGCACATGGCTGCGTGCATGGGCTACGCAGATATGGTCAAGTAAGTATCACGTTTAGTTTATTTGTTTGGTTTGTACACCCACAGGGTAAATACTCATAATGGATTTATGACCCAAGTATTAATGGAAATTTCCAATTAAATCATTATTCTGTTCGTTTACTGATTCACCGTCAGATGAACAACAGGTTGTGTCTTGAGGCTCTCATCTAATTATAGCAGTGTCATTTTATGCACGAGGAAGGCTTGTCAAACTGCCTTGAAGGGTTAATATCATAAACTAACCATTCTCCACATTTGTAAGGTTATTTTGCATAGTTAGGCCATAGATTCTATAATGTCTTTAGCAGTTGTTCTGCTGAGTGCTTTATTTTATTTGTCTATTTTTTTCCTGAGCACTTCAGCAAACTCTGCAAAATAGCCTGTTGTATGTACACTAGAGTCGTGCTAATCCAAAGTAATCGGGACTGGAGCCTGTTCGGACTAGTAAATATTCTGAGACGGAAATGCAGTAGAATCACATAAAAAATCAAACTATGTATTTTTTACTATAAATGAACACATATTGCCCCAGCCCTCGTATCAACAATGTGAACATTCTAGTGATCACGTTTTTCATACTACACTACGCTCTTAACGGAGAACCAATGTAAAGCCGTTAATGAATGGACACTCAGCCATAGGCCAGTGGCTATTATTTTCAAAAGTCCTGGTTCCATAATAAAGTACACATACAATGTTTATAGTTTTCCTGGCTTACCGATTGGCTGTTATTATTCCAGAACACATAGCATTGTTTTCATTAGTAATTGTTTTTCTCCAACTGGTGGTTCAATTTGCCGGAATCTGGTGTACCTATATCGATTATGATCATCAACATATATATATATATATATATATTAGGGATGTGTCGATACCAAAATTTATCGATTCTCGATACCGATACCGATACAAGGAAAATCGATTCTCGATACCGATACCATCGAAGTATATGTATAATACCTGACTTACCTGTAAGGAGTAAAATTTTTCTCTCCAGTCATATATCTCAGATTTATTAAATTAAAACACCTTTTAAAATACAGGACTTTAAAATAAAAAAACAAACATTAACTAAGCACTTTTTATTTATCTCTGTGTATAACAAAAAAATAAGAGAGATATGGATGGCTTTAAGGCATCGCCTACTTAATGTTTTTGTTAAGAAAAACCAACATTTTTATCCTCTCTGGGTCCAGACGATTTCTTTTCTGGTCACAAATTGCCCCTGCTGTACTGAATAGTCTTTCACTGAAAACAGTTACTGAATGTACACAGTTACAATGTATATACAATGTATGTACATTGTAACTGTGTACAATGTACACAATTTGCAATAATATGTTGGATATCTAACAGACTGTTGCTGGACTTTGGAGCGGATCCCAACGCCAAGGACAGGATCGGCAACACCCCTCTGCACCTGGCCGCTTGTACCAACAGCGTGCCTGTGATCACGTTGCTGCTCAAGGCAGGGACTCACATATCGTCTACCAACTCTCCCCTCCAGCTGGCGATCACCAAGTTCAACATCATCAAGCGCTCAGCCATGCCTCACCCCGTGCTCAAGGAACAAGTCGCTCAGGTATGTGTAGGACAGCGTTCCGTCCGCTAATCCTCTTAGTGCAGCCCGGGCGTATTATACCGACCACACCTAAGTAGGCCATATTCAGCGTGCTGCGGCGATTAGGTTAGGTTAGTTGTGTGGTCATTATAAGTAGCCTACCTAACTCAAATAAGTTGTGATCGGTATAATACTTAAGTACACAGCTCGGTTAACCTGTGGGGTTTTCTGCATCAGTGGGGTCGAGTATGAGTAAGTGTAGGGTTGGAGGAGACGAGACCACGATGCAGAGGAGGTAGTGGAGGGCGGGGAAAGAAGAAGTGAAAAAGAGATCCACAAACAACTGTCCACAAGGAACTGACCATCAACTCACTCTATTGTGATCCTCTGGGTTTATAATGTGTGTAGTTTATAGCTGATGTAGTGAGGCATCCCTATATTTCTTACAACATCTTAAAACAGGTATTTTTCATTAGTCTACTCCTATTGTTGTGCTAAACTAAAAGTGTCATAGCCTTATCAGCCTTTGTTAAAAAGTATTAGGTAGTCAAATTTATTATTTTATTTGTTTTATTTAACACCATTGGCTTTTTTGACAGTTTTTTGTAGGGAGTAGACCAAATCCTAGCTTTTTTTATCACATTATGACACACAGTTTTGTTTTTCAGGTTATTTCGATGCTCACTGAATACATGAGGCGCAAGGAAGCACCGAGTCTTGACGCTGAGCTGCTCAACAAGTTTGAGTCGCTCGTTCGAGTGAGCGATTCTTCAGAACAGGTGGAGAGCGGGATTTGCGACCTTCTCACCAATCTCAGTGCACTGGATATCTCCAGTTCATCATAATGTCTTAATCATTTCCGACCAGACATTACATACTTTGCAAATGAGATTGAATTTTATTTTTCTTTAAAATTATTTTAGTTTTTTTTTCCAGTAATAGTCTGGTTTTTTTCATTTATTATAATTACGTTTAACTTTTGCTGCTGTGTTAAGCTTTGTGCGCAAAAGGATTTATGGTTTAAAAAAATTAACTTTTTCCAATATTTAGTCGAATAAGTATACTTGTTATTTTAGGTAATGAAACAATGTATATTTTAAGTCTCAGTTTTCTACTCGTAGAAGTGGGAGTTAAATTATATATTCTGATATTATTCCATGGAAACTATATATCGTATTTTTACCATTATTGTTATGCTGCGTAGTACTTTCAGGAGAGGTCCTTTTTTGTTTTATTATTTGTTAGCTATTTTTATTTTATTAGTTATGTTACAATATTCATACAGTTTGTGGACAGTTTTATGAACACTCTGTGTGTACACTTAAATTATCCGACTATCTAATACTGCCTGGAGACTTAATATTTCTACTGTAGTTTTAGAAAGACTGAATAATTTATTTTAAATGTTATAAACGTATAAAGTATGTTAAATTATAACATAAATTTACAAGTGTGGTTTAGAAAAACAAAATGAGTTGACATTTAGGTCTCATTTACCATGCAAAACTTGTTTCTTGTTGTGTACACTAAATCAGGGCCATCCCAAGTGTCTTTGTATTTTAAACAAAAGTATTTACATAAATTTTAAGACTCCATAACTTATTAAATGCCAACTAAAGCTAAGTGTGTGTAGTGCTTTGGTAAGAGTGTTCACTTTTTACAAACATTTTGTTATGGTTTTTTTGTATATATTGAACTATCTAATATAGTGTTGTATAAAGTTAAGAGTTCAGTGGTAATAAAATATTTAAAGCTAATGTGTTTTTTTCTCTGTTTTCCCTATACACATTACTGCAGAGTGATTTTTGTTGATCTAGGCTACCAGTTTCAATTCTGTTGTGATTTAGTCTAACACCTAAAACCATCTTAAAATTTGTTTCTAAGACAGCCATCTTGAGGGGGTGACACTTCAAAAAGCTCGTCTTCTATTCTTACTTGGTTACTAAATACACTCGTGTGACCCTGGTCATTCATAATCATTTGAAAGGTGTTTTTGGCTTTTGGTAACCCTAATACTGTACCATAAACACATTACATTATGGTTTTGTTGAACCTTGGCCTAAAAGAAACCATTTTTTATTCATAGGTACAAATATATCATTCATTAAAAGAAACGTGCCATGTCTCTGTGTGGGACAACTGGGAAGGTCAAATGTTGTGTTGTCCTTGGGTTATTAGATGCTGACGAAGACTCAAAATACTGTATGTAAAAAAGAAAATCTCACGAATGCTTGGATAGAGTTGTATATTTTTATTAAGAAAAATATGAAGATAGATGCAAATTTATAAATAAACAACCCAACTACAAGTCTGTTGGAGCATAGAGGAATTTGTTTCAAACGTATGTATAGTGATCTTAATCTAGTCTATTTAGGCAAGGACACCATTTTCATTCATTTAGTCTTATATTGGACATGATTATGATCGGTTTGACTGGTCTAAATCGATATTAACTGTAACATTACCTGTATTAGAAGTCCTGTAAAAGTTTTTCAGATATCGAAAATTGTTTAGGATTTCTTAAATTACATACCCAGACTTAAACATCTCTGTTAATAGGGAAATAGGTTTAAAATAGTAAAGCTGTTACAGTACAAAAACAAAACAGCTAACAGATTAATAGAATTTATTTTGAGATGCAAACTATACAGTCTTTAAACATCAGGATGTCTCTATACTACTCAGCTTTTAAGCTTCTTCTAACTATACAAGAGTCATGCTGCTTAAAAAAACTTATTCTGCGTGTGAAAAAAGTAATAAAAACTGCTTACAATTTTAATTTACCAATCAATTATATTACTAAGTAATAAAAGAATTAGAATCTGTTAACCCGTAAACATTCAAGAATGTAAAAATTGCTTTTGGTTTCTTATTTTGAAAAATAATTGACAGAATATAATATATTTTTTTAATATACCTAACACAAAAGTTTTCTTTAGAAGCACAATCTAAAGAAAAAAGGGCAGTTCAGAAAGTAACCTCCGTTTTGTGACTGCCAGAAGTAGTGTGACCATTGTTTTATTATTTTTACATAGTTGTTCCTTAAATTGATCAGAGGTTACTTTTAGAACAGTCCTTTTAAACTTAGTTAGAAAGTAAAGTGCTTGAACATTGTGCAATAAAAACATATGCTTATACTTGTAATGTCAAACCTAACGATTAAGATCCATTTTTTAAACATTAGACATTTTTCTTATGTTTTCGGAAACAGACCTTGACTAACATAGGAATAATTTCAAACCAAACTATATTATATAAAGGTTAATGAAAAAAACTTATTTTATGAGATATTAAAGTAGAAAATAAGTTATGCAGTAAGTTACAGCCTTTGAGTTTTACCTTCAGTATCCATCAATGGTTTTACCAAGTAAATGAATATTCTTAAATATGTATATCAACGCTGATAAAAAAATTAAATTACCACAAACATTTTTAAACAGGTTATCCCATTAGATTTTAAGCACCTTTGATTCACTATAGAAACCATAACTGATATGTAACATAAGGACAGATTCACAACATTTATATTAAGGCTTTGTTTCTTATTTAGCTATTTGTGAGCAAATGCTTTTACGAACGGAACTCGTACAAACTAATACAACCTGGCACTCAAGAAAAAGTATGTTGATGTTTCTGATAGATAGTATGTATCTTAGTCTATTTAGCTTGAAATGTTTAAGAAACAGTTATGAGATCTATTTCCTATTTTTGTGATAGACTAAATGGTCAGTGACAGTGAAATATTAAAATTTGGTGTTTACTAATGAGACGACTCAGCCAATATTATGGTAAGCCTGATCCTATAAAATACAAAATCAAACCTATCAACATATAAGGGAATTGTTGTTTTCCAAACACTTGTTTAAGAAATTAAAAAAAAAAAACATGCTTTTAATGTGGAAAGTTTGTAGTAATTGTTTTGGCACATATAAAAAGTTAAAGTTAGATCTATTACATGATTAGCACATAGCATAGCTCTAAAACTGAGCAATGCTAACAACTGTAAGACAAACAAAATGGAGATAGAAAAATTACAGATAAATTTTTAAGTGAGCGTTTGAATCCAATGAGCAAACTATATTGAATTTTAACAAAAAAATATGCGAGTATAAATAGACCAGCGTGACTAAATTAGACCTACGGTAAAACTGCATTTGCAGTCTTCATAAGAATATTGTGCAATTAAAAAATTAGTTATTTACCATTCTATCGCTAAAGTTTTATAAATCACTAATCAACATCACTACTTCATAGCTAAGTCTTAAAGTTTTAATTGTTATTCAACTTGCTACTGAAAAATGTTTTTACTACCTAAATTTACAAAATATAATTAAGAAAGTGAAAAATAGCTATAATTGTAGATAGATACCCATAGTAACCCATGGGTAGGGGTAAGACATTGGTGCTTAGGATTGTTAAGGTTGTGAATGATTGAAAGTAGATTGGTCGGTAAGAATAATACTTGGCAAAAAGACAGCTATAAATTTGTGCTTGTAAAATGAAGTAAAATGGTTAAAAGAGATGATATTGCTTTATCAAGTTAGTATAGATTACCCAGCTACAAACTAAATAGTAAGACATATAATTAAAAATATAAATCACAATGTGAGATTTTAAGCTCATAGTGCTGATACCAAGATTGAGTTAGGTGTTTTCAAATTTCATAAAAGTTATGTTACTTCCCAAATGAAAATTGTAATCTGAAATTATAAGAAAACCAAAAAATTGTCAACCGCCAGTCCTTTTTTATTACAGTAAAACTCCAACCATCCAAATCAATTAGGACTGTCCACTTTCAGATTGTAAATTATTCAGATAATTAGATTTTTATCAAAATTTGGCGTTTTGAACTTTTATCGGCAATTTTGCAATAGACAAATTCACACTTTCACTGTGATCGTGGAGGACGATGAAGACGTTTCCATGACTTTAGACGATGACGATGTCGACAAGACCATAAAGACGTTTAAGAAAATGCCGCAATCGCGTAAGATGATGATGTCTAATAAACCATGGGAGATGGCATAGCCTCCTCTAATACAAGGCACAACGTCATGCCTATAGCCATGGTAATAACAGAAATAACAAAAGTGTAAACATACACATTGCTTAAGTGATGATGTCTACCTACCTGCGAGATATTCAGGATTTTGCCACAATCATGACTTCTGCCTTCTTTTAACGATTCTTATCACTGTAGTTAAATGGCTTTTGAAATTCTTTCTATAAACCTTCGGATGGTTGGAGTCCAGTTCTACTGAATTTTGATTGAATCCTATACATATCTGTTTCTACTGTTTTATTGTAGTATAAAGGAAAAATTAACCAACCTTGACTAATGTTATACCGCCAATAGTAGAACTATGGGGCGGTAATTCCACTAAGTTATGCAAGGGGGTTATACTAGGGGGTATGGTAGGGTACGGGGGTAGGGGGCGGGTTAGTTATACTAGGGTCTTGGTCCATATGGATGGGATGTCGACTTCATTGTTTAAAGTCAATTGGCATAGCTCACTAAGAAAAGCAAAGGCTACAATTTGGTTGACCAAGAAAGAAAACAATACTAAAGTGGTCCGATGTTGAAAATATCCTACTACTATAATTCATGAAGAAAGGTATACCTAAATAAATATCAAATAAGAATTTTTTCAAATTAAAAACAAATGTTTAGACGTTTTAATAACTCTTAACAACAGATTCTTTTCAAACAGGTAAAATAAACAATAGAATATTAAATAACAGTATGTAAATGCTTAAATGTTTAATATAATTTATTCCAAATATAAAAATATTAAAATATTTCAAGTAGATAAACAGGTAACTCTGAGCAATCTAATATCTTTAAACTTACAAAGAACAAACTAACTGTACAAACAACAAGGCTTACACTTCTACACCCGACTTATATACATTCTTGTTACAACTTACTGAAGTTTGTTCATTTATTGCAATCGAATGCCCAAGTAAGGAACATGCTTTCAGGAATGTGAATTGGATACAAGATTCAATTACAACATTATTCAATGTCAGTCCATCGTATGAAAAATGCTGTTAATACGTTTGGCACAGAATATCATATTTATATGATGAAGCAAGTGTCACTTAACATGTAACAAAATTAGTCCAAATAGTTCAAAATCTAAGAGTAAAATTTATTTTAAAATGTTTAAATTTATAACTAGAAGTACAAAAAATGGTCAGTTTATCCCTTTAATCAACCATCCTTATGTTTTGTGACCATTTATTGTGTTTTAGCTCCTGGACTCTTATCTCACGTAGCTTGCTGAACTCTAACCCTCTTCAAAAAATATCTTTAGGCTACTCCCTCAAATTAAGTTCTCTTCAGCAATAAACACTGTTAAGTGCCACTTGCATGTCTTAGTAGAATCACTTCTTTGTCAATTAAATAAATCAACAACCAACCAAATACCGCTACTTAGATCGACTATTGGGAGCGAGCTAACACGTTGGCGCACACAGGCACCATCTCCACCTGGAATGGTCCATCCGGAATGCGTTCCCCGTCAACGGTAACGTAACTTCCGGGACTCTGAGGCTCCAGACGGAACGCTCTCACAGGAACCATCTCTGTTTGGGCTACGTTCACATGACTCCCGGAAGACAGGCCTAGCAGATACTGCAACACATACAGGGATGGTAAATAGAGAGTAGTCATGTTTTTGTGGACCAAAAATGAAGACAAGTGAGGGCTGAAACTTGAGTGATCTTAATGTTTGGACTTTCAAGACCAAATACAGTCAGGTTTGTTGCTAGTCTATTGGTTAGCATCTCAGATTTTGGTGCAATATGTATGTAATATGTATTAATATGTAATATGTATATGTATATGTATGTATGTAATATATAACATATATACATATGTAATATATAACATGTATATGTATATATGTAAATATGTAATATGTATATGTATGCAATATGTATTAAATACCAATAACCACAAAAAATTTCAGTTAGTCCAGTTTCTTCATTACACAATTTAACCAGCATAGAAACTCAAAACAAAAATTATTAACACAACAAGATCTAAGCATTACAGTAGGTACTGGGGCTATCGTAGGAATTAATTCCCCATCAGCCTCGGATAGGGTAGGAGCTTTGAAAAGTGCTTAGAATATTACAAGGGGAAAACTGCGTATCAAAAATCACCACTTGTAGCAGCTATTAGCGAGTGTAAGGCTTCTGGGGTTAGGTAACTGGTGCGGTCGTTGTTTGATCACTGTCGTTGTTGTTCAGTTGAGAATGGTTAGGTATGAATGGTGAGTGTAGGACAGCTTGTTAAACAGGTAATCAGGAATTATTTAGGATATTCAGAGACGGTTAAAATACTTGATATTGAGGTTGATTAGAAAGTCACAAGGGGGGGGGGGGGGTGGAATTAGAGGGGAAGGTATTTTGGTTTCAAATTCTAAAATAGAGTGCTGGAGGCTAGCTCCAAAGAATTACAGCGATCGTGATTTCTTATGGTAAAATTGTTTAGCATACACAGTTTTATTAGTTGCCAAGTTATAGTAAGTTCTACCCTTTAAGTTTGCTTGACTTATAAACAAAAATCATCAAAGAAAACCACAATTATTAAAGAAAAACAATGTATTTCTATGTTTTAATACAAATAGGGCTATTACCTGTAGCAGATGTGTCCTGCTGATACCAGCTTTGATGATTGATAACCAGATAACGTTGTCAGACAGTTTAGAATCTGGCGCCATCACGCAATCTGCAGCTATGTGAGACTTGTATACGGCGTGGACCATCACAAAGTCACCTGTTAACACAATCGCAGGTGACAATTTAAAAGCCCAATGAATCAAAGATAGCTAGGTAGGGTGTCAAACCACTTTTACAGATTAAACTTATCCTAGGACTGTATTACTACAATTTTTTCAATTGTTTTAAGGAAAACTTTTAAAAATCAGCATCACATAAGTTGTTCTAGGTAAATCAACAAAAACAAAGATGAAGAACATACATGTGCATCCATGACGAGCACAGTGTTGCCACAAAGCAAAAGAATTTGTCTTAGATTCATATTACGACAAAACAGTAATAAAATAAGTTTCCCAGTGAAATTTCAAAGTTCACACATGATTCCACGTTTTCCAGGATACCTGGGCTGGAAGCAACTCTGCAAGCAACAAAAAAAACGCCTTGTTTCTCAAAAACTGATGAAATATAAGTGGAGGACAATATGGGTTGTATATATATTTGAGTAGTAAAGACAATACAATACTGATTACTTTTGAAAATAAAGTATTGAGAAGGATTTTTGGACCAATAAAAGACGGAGACTCGTGGGTAATAAGAAAAAATAGGGAGTTGAGGGAATTATATAAGGAACCAGATATTGTGGGAGTGGTAAAGAATTGAGGCGGCTGGGCCACATTCAATGTAGAGGTGGGAGAGAGGTGGTAAAACAAGTGATAAGATGTACTCCGGAGGGCAAGAGGCTATTGGGAAGACCAAAGATGAGATGGATTGACAAAGTTACAAAGGACCTAAGGAGTATGGGAGCCGACCTGGAGCTGGCAGATGACAGAGGATTCTGGAGGCACATGTTTGGCGAGGCAAAAGACCTCCTTGGTTTTCAATGTCCACAGGAGTAGGTAAGTAAGTAAGTAAAGACAATACAATAAAATGCTGAAGACGGAGACAACTTACCTTGGTGTACAGTCCACTCCTGTGGTACAGGCTGGGAGAGAGCAGGTATGTTAGAGGCTGGGCCGTACATCATCACCTCCTCGGGACCGTCCTCGGCCAGACTCAGGTAGCTGGAGCCAGACACTGACAGGTAGGTGCTGCGGCGAGACGCTACGGAGTAGAAACTGTCCCTCCGCACTCCGTCTGAGTCCTACAAAACCAGGCTATGTTAAGTAAGTGTGAAAGTTATGAGTCTAGTTAGCTCGCTCAGAACGAATCGTTCAAGATTGCTTTATGCTTTATCTCTTGATCCCCTAAATGCTGTAACTATATCTACATCGTAAATAAAAAACAACATGTTTCTCATAATGATTAGTTTATTTACTTTCTCCACAACTTTTTACATTTTTCTTGTTTGTAATAAGGCTGTAGACTTTTTTGCTAACATTTTAAAAGTAATCTAGTCACTTTGCTATCAAAACAATTAATGGAGGAATAAATAATGTAAATACAAAAATCAACTATATATAAACATTGTGCTCAAAGAGGATCCATCAGTGACATTATTTCCTTTGGTATCAACCAATTGCAACTCTTGACTAAACAAGTTATGAATGTGACTAAGATTTGTTATCATCTACTCTCTGAAGCTAATACTGTACAAGGAAAAATATCAGTGTTATGTAGTGTACCTTTTTTGTGTATATCGAGTGAATGCTATAATTTCCTCATGTAAACTAGGTACACTCCATCTTTTTCTAAAATCACTTCATAATCAGCCACGAGACTTTCCTTCGAATCTCCTCCCAAATGATTACTAATTTAATTGCTTGCTTTATAACTGAACACATGCCCAAACAATATTTACAACAATGACTGATCTATGAAATGAAACTAGTAGAAGTTATAGTGCAAACATACATTTATTATGGATTAATTTCTGCTTCTAGATGACACATCAACATGTTACAACATAAATAACATATAATATGGATTCCCAATCACCGTTTTAAGACATGATCTCAACAAATAAAAGATTTTTGTCAAAACTAAATTGAAAAACATGAATATTACTCAAAGATATGCAATACGTTTTTTATGGAAATGTGGGTAAAATGTGTGAAAAGAGAAGAAATAGACGATGATGGTGATAGAGGGAAGGGGATCAAGACGAAGACCTAGAAAAAATAGATAAACGAGTTGAAAAGTTATGTGAAGATAGGAGTAAAACACAGATGGTGGAGGGAGAAAAACTGAGGAGATATATCAGGAGATGGATAGGCCAGTCTACGCCCAAACCAGGGAATATTTGGAACTGATCGGGAACATGTATGCATTGTATGCATTAAACGATTAAATGATGAGTTAATTTCCAGTGACAATTTTCGTCCACAAAGTTGACAAAAGTGAAATCTCCACCCACAACCAAGGTGTTAATTTTCCTGCCTGACACATAAACACAAGATTTTACCGCATTCACAATATGTTGCTTTTGAGGGTGGCAAATCTTGAAAAACTTTCGGCAATCGGAACCGGTCATTTCCTGTAAACATCCAACTTTGAGGAAAAACATCAACAAACAAGATGCAATGATTAGGGTTGTTTCAGCTACCACTTTCCCGATTTTGTCAGATGGTTCTTATCAAGTGTGCTCGATTCTAGTGAAACTAAGGTAAAACCAATTTAACTTATTCAAGTGTGTAATAATCTACAAGTTTGACAAAAATAACCAATTTAAAGTCATATTATTTATTAAGTATTTGACAGAGGGTAAAATCAAGTATTGATCAGCTAGAAAAAAAAACACAAGAACTGTCCATTAGGATCAATGAGCTCCTTCTGCGACAGCTCACTAGTTCATGTCCAAACAAAAGCCATTTTTATTTCCCCATAACTAAGCTCGCTCGTTTTCACTTCAATGGAGTATTGACTCTTTCGTAGAAGTCTTTGACGATGAAAAAAAAATTGGTAAGCCATCCAGGTACAAATTGTCCGGTGATTAGATTTCTTTGGAAAGAGGTCAACTACTATTGATATGCATTACCAGTTAATTAATATATGCTAACAGAAATAAACGGTATCAGCAATCCAACACATACTTGTCAACACATTACCTCGTCAACAGCCCTTATCATGCTTGGGTAAGTGGTGGGAGTAACAATGATATTTTATAGGGAAAATCACAAAAGTTGCAGTAACTTTTGAAACTGTAATTTTTACAGCACAGGAAGTTAAACAATTTTATTAAGGATTAAAGGGACTAAAACTCACTAAATGTTAACCAATATCATTTGAGCCATTTTTGTGAAAATCTGATATTTTATTTTATAGGATTTCGCAGAAAAAAGTGTTTTAACAACAACAAAATCAACGTAAAATATGGAGAATCAATTTCCCCTACTTTTATCTACTGTGACAATGATGAGACAGTCTCGCATAGAGTGGGAAATTGGTACAAAGCTGTATGTGAGTACGAGAACAATTTGTCGAATTTGAACGAGCTTGCCTCATTGCAAAAGGAGCCCGTTGGAGACGTCAATTAAAAAACAACATTCGTAACTACAAATAAGCCATCATTGACCAATAACTCTAAATTTATATGTATGTTAGCAGTTCATTGGTCACATGAGGTTCATAGATTAACGAGTTGAAAGTTTTATTTGATAATAGAGCATATTTATTGACTAACCTCGCTGGCCTCGGTCTCCAGGTTGATGCTGTCTCCGAGGCTTGCACTGTGAGGCAGACTGAGGTTGTCTTGACTAGCTACGGTGATGCCTGGCGTAACAGGCGTCGCACAGTTCACCAGCGACAACTCATGGTCAGGAATCCTCAGATATGACAACCTGGCGGTGTAAGTTCTCAGTCCTAGATGGCAAACCAAGAATTTAGCATAAATACTATGCTTAAAACTGTAATTTTTTATTGGAATAAATTAGCCAATAAAAATCACCTTGAAACTGTAATTTTTTTTTATTGGAATAAATTAGCCTATATAAGTTTTTAAAGACAAAACCAAATGAAGATGTTGCCATCAGCATCAGTACATAAATAATCCTTTCTTCAGTTTTACTTTACATTAGAATTTTCCAGAACATTATTCATGGTATATTGATGGCTGTAGTGCGTTAAAAAGTGCTACACTTTAACAGTTTACTAAAGAAACTTATCATTATTAATAAGGTGTTTCAAGATGGAAAAACAAATTCTCCTCCTGTTTAGGTTAGATTAGAAGGTAGAGTCCACTTAAAAACACTGTCCTGACCAGGCTCGAAATCTTCAACCAAAATCTGTAGTTTTGACGACATTTTAATAATCTTGATCCTTATTTTTACCAGACATTGCTGTATCAGGTTGGATTGCTACTGACCTATCAGCCTCGCGATGCTCCACACCGCAAACCTCTGTCCTCCCAATGCTCTCAGTCTCTCACTCTCTATGTCAATGTCTGACAGAAGCCCCCAGCCCACGGACAGGAACGAAAACATGGTCTAGAACATGAAAACCACAATCCTTTTAATGTACTATAGTTAATCATTGATTATGGGATACAAAAATAGACATCTCATCTATATGGACCAGATAATCTAATTATCGTCTTCATGGCCAAGGGGAATGTAGAGATATTGCCGCGACCACGAGAGGGAATCATAATGTCTTCACGACCGCGAGGAAGCGTAGAGTTATAATTGTGGTCACAGGAGGTGATGAAGATGTCTTTATGACCATATATGAACAAAGAGTTTTATCCGCGATCATGGGAAAAGATGATTATGTCTTTGAGACCAAGGGGAATGTAGAGATATTGCCATTATTATTGAAGGCGATAGTCATGTCTTCGCAACCAGGGTGGAACGTAGAGATAGTTTAGCAATTACAAGAGGTGATAGCGATGACTTTGTGACCTCGGAGTAATTTAGAGATATTGCTGTTTCCACGGGAGAAATTAATGATGTCCATGGTCGTAGGCATGGGGGTGGGAGACACCTTCAATATTGCTTTGATCGCAGGAGATGTTGAAACTTTCACCGCAATAGCAGGTGGGGATCTAGATACGGCCGCAATCACCATTATTGCCATGAAAACATTATGATAAGGATTTATAATAGACCGGTGTAAATCTGAAATTTTTTTTTAAGGATATATTTTAGTAAAATTCCAATTGAGGTGATGGAAATTCCCTTGATCTGCAGATTTGCTGTGGTGAGGGAAATTTGGTTTTATTTGTACCTAATCTTGATCAAAATTATTCAGAAAAATAATGTAAACATGGAAGGCTACCTGTGAAGGGGTTTGTACCCTAACCAGGTCCATCGGAGTCGTGAACCCTCTCACAACATTGAGAGCCGACACCAACACTGGGCTGTGGTCGTACGGCTCACTGAAACATAAGGGGTAACATTTGAACGATTTCTTCACAACAAATCTCAATTACTGACACAACAACTAAATTCCTTTAAAATAGCTGGTACTAACAGACCAAATTCCACACCTACCTGAAAAGTAACCCATGAGCTATGGTAGTTCCAGCACGCAGAATGCTTATCAATAAGTTTTTTTACTATACGTAGCCTGAAACTTACTTGAATTGATGGCTGATGGTCTTGGCTAGTCCGTTGCCAGATCCGCAAGGTATTATTCCCAACTTGAGTTTCTGAAACGCAGTTTCCCAATCGAGCCTCTCCATCATTCCGTTGATGATTTCAAACAGGATACCATCACCTCCCATAGCAATAAGTCCACCTCCGTACTGGTAAATGTCCTGCGAAACAGCAAAATCAATATCAACACTGATGAATTCAAGCAAAAGAGCTAAGAGATGAGAGATAATATTATTCTGAAAAGATTTCTCAGTTACGACTATAAACAAGAACTAGTTTAAGTCTTAAAGAAACCTTCAGTACAAAGCACCTAGATTTATTCTACTTAGGCTAACTCTTTGTACTCCATATGCAATACAGAAATTTAATTGTGTCTCTTTTAAATACTCCCCCTCATCTTTGACGCTAATGTATTTCGTAACGAAATTACCAATACAAATATGTTTGTCTATTGTGTATTAAATATAAATTTAAAAATAATTATGTTTAAGTTTTCAGTGGGCACACACAGAAAGGTTAAGTAAAAAAGGTAGCAAAAAAGTCAGATTTGGGGTTTATCACAAAATAATTTACCCGACCTATCTAACAGAACCATCGGGTCCGCGGAATTGGCTAACTCTGGAACTCGCTAACCCCATGTTAAAAACCCTATCTTTAAATTTGGTCGATGAGAGGAACTCGCTAACTTGTTCAGTTTCAGAATTGGCTAACTTCGGAACCCGCTAACCCGCTCTAGAGCCGGGTTAGCGAATTCCGTCCTAGTACGGAAGTCGCTAACTCGGTCCCTCGGCGGAACTCGCTAACTCCCAATCAAAAGCCTCGCGCGCCATCCAATGGGAGCCAAGCACGAAGATTGTTGGCCAGTGTTGCCGAAAGTGTAGTACCTAAGATCGTATCGGTACCATATTTTCGTATCCTACGAATAATTAGGAGTAAGACCAATGTAGTCGATAAAATAAATGTATATTCAGAATCATGTTTGTTATCATTATTCTTATGATTATTATATAGGGCGGAAAATTTATTATAGTCTTACCATAGACTAACCAACACAAGTAGACTCCCCATCCCATTGCAAATTTTGAAGCTCGTTTTTCGTGTCTAGTTCGTGTCCGGTGACACTGATCGCTAGTGTCGACGAAATTTTGTTTCTATTATTTTATAGTTAATTTCATTATTTGTTCTCTACTGGTTTGGTTTTATAACTAGGGGACGAGTTGTTAGTTATGGTTGGAACGTTTTATTTGGTTAAACGAGGCTATAGGCTATATGACTGAAAACAAGAAACAAATTGTAAACAAAACACTCTACCTCTACACTCTACAGACAGTGCACCGGACAGAACTAGCTGATCCATAAGGATGAGAAATCTACTAAGGGAGTATGTTTTTCTATGGTCTTCTTACTTAAATATAGCAGTTTATTGGGATGTAAAAAAATTGTACATTTAATTTGGATCTTTTACAGGTTATGAAATATCTATTTTCACAGTCGGTAATTTCATTCTTTTATTCCAACTAATACCATTTGTGAACTGCTGCAAATAAAATGATTAAGTTCGTATTTTGTATACTGGGCTTGTAACCTTGAATTCTTGTCCTTGATAGGTTATACTAGGTTATACTGATAGGTTATACTATTTTATTCTTTAAAGGCCTGGCGGTACTACTGGATTTTCAATATGTTTCATATTCTGTTATTTTCCTATAATACTAGCATTTATATTTAAGATCTAAATCATAAACATTTAATTGGAAGTTGTACAGTAAAATAAAAATAATCACTTTTAATGATTTTTTAATTGCCTTTTAAAAGTGCTGTTAAAAGTATTATTGATAACACAAATAATAACAATTACTGTATCTTTATTGACAATGACATTTTGAAATGCGTCTGTGTACGACTATTTCGTCGTACAAGGTTGGCAACGCTCCGTGCAGTGGGCGAGGCGACTTCCAGTGGGGGTTAGCGACTTCCAGAGTTAGCGAATTCCGCCGCGGGACAAAATCGAGTTAGCGGGTTCCGGAGTTAGCCAATTCCTAACTGGGACGGTTTGCCAGTTCCAGAGTTAGCCAGTTCCGAAACACGACCGAGTTAGCGAGTTCCAGAGTTAGCCAATTCCTACGTCTCGAACCATCCAATGCTTATATATGAGTGTCACTTTATTCAGTCACACATTAATTATAATCATTTTTTATTATCAAGTGTCAGCATTGCCAACCATCAAAGATTGTCTGGAACAAAATAATAGTTAGATATTCATTATGTTAGACATTGTTGTATGTTAGACATTCACACAATATGTAGGCTAGTTGTAAAACTTCAGCAAGATTCAATTTTATCTAGTTAGTATGATATCTACCTATATACTTTATCTAATAAATATGAAGCTGTTTAAATAATCATACATGTTTTAATAATTTTGTATAGAAATGCTAAATGCTGTTTTTAGCTTCTTAGGTTTTTTTTTATCTACTAATCCTCCTTACTCTTGTTCTAATGATTTACAATCATTTGAATGCTTATGTTAGAGTCTGCTCTTTAAATTTTTCCACGAGGTAGTCATAATGGGACGAGTCAACTTGTGGTAAATATAATTACAAAACACCTGTGTAAGCAATTACGTTCAAAACATCTCATGGCATTTACATGTTGGAACTCTGTACAAGAGAAATAATTGGAAGCTACATTTCAATATGGAAATTACTATTTGTAACTCATCTTGCCTTGAATTTAAATTTGACAGACAATGCGCTCAAGCCAGAAATAATAGAGAGCTAAGTGACTAAAAATAATTGATTTAAAAAAATGTACAGTAGAACTCCGATTATCCGAATCAATAGGGACCATACCCCATTCGGATAATCAAAAATTCGGATAATCGGAATTTTACCGGAATTCCGGGAATTTTAAAGAAAAATCCTCATTTTCGGTACTAAGTGAACTTTTAATTAATAATAATTTAAATCAGAACATTTTTACTGTTTACAATGCTCATAGTACAAGTGTTCTATACATGTTATTAAGTCAATAGTGTTCCATCAAAGTCCAAAATTGGCTAAATGTGTTAAATAACAATTCTTTGATATTTTGCAAAACTTATTACTGTAGCTTTACTTTTTTAAAATTGTTGAAATAAGCGATTCGGATAATTGGAGATTCGGTTAATTGGAGTTCGGATAATTGGAGTTCTACTGTATATTTAACGAACATAAGTTAGTTCTAAATCATTTGTGAACCTAAACATAAAATTGATTTACAATTAGGTACCGGGACTTAAGTACCAGTTACTTTATAAACCAATTTTGAAAAGTTTCTTGTTTTTTATAGTTTAAATTTGATTACAAAAATTGTAAATGCATACCAATTTTACAGCTGTGTTATTTTTCACCTTCCATAAATAACTTGAATGGCCTAAATAGTCATTTTTAGGACAAATGCAGCAATGAACTGAACTTTATATATTCAGAGAAATATAAGAATTGAAAATAGTATCTTTGGTGCAATCTAATGATTTAAATTGAGAATAGGAAATTAAAAGACTTTCAAATACTTAAGCTTTTTTTAGCTACTCAAATTCACCTTTCGACAATATCCAATCTATATTATACTTTAATACTTTCTTATTAAATGATGACCAAACAAAGTAGGTATTTTAAGGTATGAGCCAATAAGTAATTCAAACTTATGGCACGGAGGCTACTGGATCTCTTACCAAGGATCGTACGAGTGTCCGAGCGTCGTCTGCGTATCTTGTAACGTGGAGGTCGTAGTTGACATCAGCCTCCGTCAGTAAGGGAACCACTCTGCTCTGGAACACGTCTCGACCTTTCCCCTGGCCTGACTTAGGGTTTAGAAGTACCAGCACTTTGTTCTCTGCAAAAAAATCCCTAGTTATCCAATATCCATGTTGATCCTCCTTGTGAATGATATGAGTATGAAGAAATTGTGTATTTTTAAAATTATTTTTCCTGTTTGATATGACTTATACATTATAGCAGGACATTGAGACAATCCCTGCCTGTCCCTATACTGTACTCAGACAACAGATAAGATTTTTTAAACACAGTGAATGTAATTTTTCCACTCCTACTTTCATTTAATTCCTTTTTGTTAGTTAATTCGTTTTTTTATTATTTATTTTTTGTAGTAACCGTGTTTTCACTCACACATTCTAAAGCTAAATTAGATGTTGAAAATGAGAAAATTAGAACAGATAGTGTGTGGATTATTTTGAAGAATACATCTGACTAATTATATGGAAAAATTTGTTGCCTTTTTCAACATCATTATTTTTATTTTTTTTTTATTTGGGATATGTACACCTAATTTTAAAATAGTTTAGCCTAATTTTTTTTTCTTTATCAACATTAAAAATGCAAAATAAAATGTATAAACACATGTTGATGTGAGTAAAGAAGATCCTTTGCTGTAATAAAAACTGTTTGCAATATTGGTTTTTCTGCAAAATAAAAATAAAAAGAATTAGTTGTTAGTCTGACAATGAAATTTGACACTTTTCTTGTACATTTACAATATGAATAAAGATTTTTGATTCTCATTCTGAGTAATGTTTTGTTTGAGTAAAAATTACTATACAACTGGTTGAATCACCAAACCAGTCCCTAATTAATGGCAATGGTGTGATTAGTTGAGATATGATGTAAAAGCCATGTCACTTCAAGGCCGACCTTTTGTCATGAGTCAGCAGTCATGTTTGCTGGTTTTGCCTTTGTTCACTATAAATGCTGTAGAGAATTTTTACTGTTCAGTTTGTCATTATGCTTTGACAAGTGATTTTGCAAAAATCGGAAAAAAGTTTTTAAATTGTACTTTTTATTTTGATTTTAGAATATTACCTTACAGAAAACAAATTGGAAAATACCCCCGTCACAGCAAACCTGCAACCTGCATACTAAGCGAATTTCCATTTACCCGGCTTGATTTCTACTAAAATATTCCCTATAAATTTTCAGATTTATTTCCTATAACATTAATTTTAGTGAGTAGTTAGGTTTGCTGCTACGGGGAAGATGTTGAGGTGTGTTTTTTCAATTGAAATATTGATAGCTTAGTATGAAATAACCAAATTGCCAAATTTGATTAAAATATATCCATAAACAAGCAAACTAGAACAGTTTATTTATTCTCCATAAGAATAACATGGGAATTTTAAATTTACAATTTTTTTAATTTTCTCCCTAGTCAATGAACATTCAAAAACACTTCAATATACTAAATTATGTTTTTTTGAGCTCTTCAAAATGGTCTAGAGAGAAATTTAGAAATTTAAAGTTTTTAGGGTCAAAAATGAGAAAAACCCATTTTTACCCCATAAAACCCCCCATAAACCCCTGATCCCATTGTCCGATTATGCTGGTTCGCGAACTCGTTCGAATAAATGTAGGTTTACACGTTTGTACCAAATTTCATCAAAATCAGATCAATTTTGCTCGAGTTATCGCGCTAACGGACACATATATATAAATATATATATCTATAAGTATAAAAGAGGATGTTTGTATATATATTTGTTTGTTTGTTTGGCAGTGATAAACTCAGACACCGCTGAACCAATTGCCACGAAACTTGGTACATACGTGTAGAATGTCATGGAAAAGGTTTATACCAATTTCGTGATCCGTCCAATCGGCTCCGCCCCAGTGGCTCTGGAGTTTCCCATGTTAACCTTATGAGAAATGGAATTAATGAATCTTAACAGCTGTTTCAATTAAACAAGTTGGTTCTGTTCTATGATGTTCAATAGCATTAAAGTTACAAGGATTACCAACAGGGCGCAGCACTATTATTTCTTTTACATTTATGACAACAGCTAATTTGCAACCAAAAGGTGAGTGAGCGTAGCGAACGAACTTCAACCTGGAGGCGAGTTAGCGTAGCAAACGAGCTAACCTGAAGGCAAGTGAGCGTAGCGAACGAGCTAACCTGAAGGCAAGTGAGCGCAGCGAACGAGCTCCAACCTAAAGGTGAGTGAGCGTAGCGAACGAGCTCCAAATTAATATATAAGCGAATTTCCATCTATACTTGGCTGGAATTCCACAAAATTATTCCCTTAAAATTGTCAGATTTATTTCTTAAAAATATCATTATTTATAAAGAATACTTAGGTTTGCTGCTACAGGAAAGACAATAAGGTGTGTTGTTTTTTTATTAAAATATTGAAAACATAACTAGGCCTATGAAGTAAAAAACATGTTTAAATGTCATTAATATATGTGCATAGACAAGCAAGCTATAAGCAGTTTACTAGTGTACATGATGCTCGAAATCGAGCAATTGTCAAGTAGGCCTACCGGTATTATACAGAAGTTATTTTAAAACTATAGTACGGTAATAACAGTCATAATTTTCTATGAGTTTAAAAGACCTGACTAAATGATTATGTAACTAATTGAAACACTCACGCTATTTAATAGCGCTTTGAAATAATAATTAAACACTTCTTGTAAAAATATTTTAGCATTTTTTGGACCCGGCCTTATTTTTTAGTGTTTTCTACAAATGTTTCCCGACTTAAAGCTGTTACCAGTAAACATTTCTTGCATGTATTTCTTTGATCTGACTTTAGGTAGGTTTACTTTACCACTGTGCAACATGATGTGTATATTCTTCATCATGGTTTTTTTTTACTTGCAAAAGAAGTTGCTTAGGATAACTGGCAAAATGATTCATCTCCCCAAATGATTGTGTACCTGGATTCGTTACTGTGAGACCAGGTCTCTCCTCTACTCTTCTCATTTCCTATTAATTGTCTCCTCCTCCTGTTTTCAATATTTCTCCTTTAAACTCAAGAAATTGTCTGTTCTTCCAACAAAACTGATTGACTGTTTAGATTTGTCTATAACCTCCTAAATATTACAAATATCAATATTTACTCCCAAAAAGCTGGTGAGTTTCTTTTTATGTACAGCTGTTTTTGTTTTTAAATTTGTTTTCGATGTAATTCTTATGGGGAAAATGCGACCTTTGAGAGTGTCTCTTGCCCTTAAGGGTAAGAGTTTTTAAATTCTAAAGCCTTTATGCAAAACTACGAATTGAGACGAATTATTTGACACCTCAAACGTTAAAATCGGTCAAGAAATAACGGAGGAGTTTTGTTCACAAAAAACAGCCCTCACGTATTAATATAAGAGATTTATTCCCCATAAAAATAACATGGAAATTTAAAATTTACACTTTTTTGGAATTTTCTACGTAACCGTTATGCATACAACAACGCTTCAATAGGTATACTAAATTATTTGTTTTTATAAGCTCTACAAAATAGCTTGGAAAGAAATTGAAATTTTTTTATTTTTTAGGGTAAAAAAGGGAAAACCCCGTTTTTACCCCATAAACCCCTGTTCCCGTAGTCCAATCCTGCTGGTTTGCAAACTTGTTCGAATAAATGTAGGTCTAGATGTGTATACCAAATTTCATCAAAATCGCATAGTTACTAAAACAAGAGAGAATATTTTTTAAAGTCAATTTAAGAAATAAGTTTACCGGATCTACTACCTACAAAAAGCGCCATGCCAAATCCCCAATAGTATATTGACAATAAAAAAATTATTTGCCTAAACCTTAAAACTGTCAAAACGAAAACAAAAGCATGATCAGTCACAAGGACAGTTAGTTGAAATATTTGCCGATAACTTAATTCAATCACTAGTAGTGACAAACTAATATTGAGGCTATTATAGGCTAAGTTCATTTAATTTTTGTCTATATTTTATTAAAACATCAATAATTTAAAAAAATAGTAGGGTGAGGTCAAACAAGACGTAACCATAGACAAAATCTAATTAAATCGACCGACAGAAGTGCTGTGGTTAGCATAAGTTCTGTCGTCCACCACTAGGAGTGCCCTGTGTACACGGCGCTCCAAGCGGTGGTCGCCAGAACTTATGCTAACTGCAGCACTGCTGTCGGTCTATTTAGTTCTATTTGTCTTGTAACTTAGCTTTAAACTTAACTTGTACAGTACTTAATTTTTAAGATAACTTAGGTAGGCCTGAGCTACAAAAGCTTGTTTATTATTAAGTGCTATAACTTAACGCTTCAAGGATTAGAAATGATACCTTCATAAGTGATAATAATGATATCTTCATAAGTTATAGGCCTAGCCTAAGTACGGTAACATAATCTTTGATCTTAAGAGTCCTTGGAGGCTAGCGGATAATTTCAAACCGCTGCTACAGAGTTATTTATCATCCAAAATATTTTTTTAAACACCAAAAATGTTAGTTTTCAAGGGGATTAGAAATGTTCTTTTGTAGTTTTGATTATTCTCCAATGGAGTCCATGGAAGCTAACGGCAATCTTGGATTAATTGAGGATAAGAGCAATGTTAACTTAATTTCAAACAGCCGCTGAAGAGTTTATTACCATCCAAAAATATTTTTTCAAACACCAGAGTGATTGTAACTTAAATAGGCTATCTACATAGGTAGTATACTGTGAGATTAGAAATTTTCTTAGTAGTTCTTTAAGTACCAACTTAATTGGTTTATGAGTTAGAACGTCTAGGATCCAATGACTCTTAAATCAATCGTAGGATATGATAATTTTTGCACTATCTTACCTATGAGTGGCTCTGTCAGGACTATTTTCCCTGGTGACAATTGAGGATTCATTCTGCTGTGAATTAGGTGCTTGATAGAAGATTTCCACTTCTGTGCTTCTCTCATATTATCTTCATATTTATCAAATGATCTAAATCTTAAGGTAATAGTCATTCTATCGCGTTTCTGTCCAGACTTAACTTTACAGTTTTTTAAAATGTACGAGTAAATGTACAAATATGCACTTATATCTGACTCATCTTTGTCTGCTGAATTTTCTTCTACCACCCTTGGATCATGTTTTCTAATTGAACTGGGATGACAAGCACAAGAATTTTCGGAACGTCTTTTCCTTCTCATACATCTACAACCAATGATGTCACTTAATGATATTGTTTCATTTTTTATGTTGCCATTATGTTCTTTTTGTAGGCACAAACCTTTCTCAGTTAATTTCACTCTATAAACAGTGTTCTTTTTTGACAAAATGTAAAACGTTTCTTCAAGCATAGGCCTGACATTAATATTAACCTCTTCTGTTGGCTCCATCATAGTCAACAGTCAAACCGTGTTATTTGAATAATTAAAATATATTGAATGTTTATTATAAACTTTATCCCCTACGTAAACAGTTTACTGGTGAAAAATAATATTGTATTAGTAAACTTTAATGGCTAGAGTCTAGAGACCTCTTTCAATCCAAAATAGGCTATGTTACAGGAACCTACTTGTATAGACAGATTTTGGTAGCTTTCTGTTAGCTATGCACCAGTATTACAGTTCGGAGGCAGGTAATATATTACAACAAACTGAAGTAAGAATAGGCTAGCTTACAAACAAATTACATTTCACAACATGATCTTGAAAATGCGGCATTCACTGGCACTTGACAGCGCGAACCAACAAAATAAATCAAGTGTGTACTTTACAACAAAACTAAAATCAACTGTACAAGTACATTCATTCAGTGCGGACAAAAATAATTATTAATTGATAGTTAGGTCTATGCTGAAGCTGAAATTGACAAATCAACACAGAACTATGAATTTGGCACTATGCCAGACGGAGGCCACTTCTTCACATGTACAGAAACCTTATAATGACGTCACATGACTATCGACTACTTTTCAGCTATCGGAATCGTGATGGTTTATGCAATCGATTATCGAAGGACGAAGGGACACGGCTTTACATCGTCACTTATTCACTTTGCTGTGCCCGGTGACCATGTTAATAGACTCGTTCTGATTATTTTCAATAAACCTACTACTTTTTAAATGGAGCCAGAAAAGTACAAGTGGGCTAAAAGCTATGATGAATTTTTAGATGTTTTAAGAGAACATGAAATTTCTACCACATCCAAGTTTGTAATTATTTGTGCTCCAAGTATTTTTAAATTGAACTGATCAATTTATGCACTCTAATATAATCAAGGTTTATTTCCACCAAAATACAAAAATAACAAATAATGCAAGAAAGCAATTATATATGAAGCATAATATATATATAAATAAAAGTAATTGAGTAATGTTACATATGAAAGGACTTATGGTATATAACTAAAATGAGAAAAATTTGATTTATTACATTGAATTCATGTAACATAATTAATAAAAAAAATTAAAATGGTTCCTTAACGTAAAAATAAATTTGATGGGAAACGAGACTATATGGGCACTAGTGGCCTGTGCGTAGGCTCGAGTTGAATAATATAGAATGTGGTACGATCAAAAAGTAATAAACTATCCTACAAATTAATCGGATTACTACTACTTAATGTTTCCTTATTTATATTATGTCCCAGTACTTTCATTTATAAATAACAAGATAAGGCTTAGTAAAAGCATAACGTTATTGTGAATTAAATGGAGCCAGAATAATATAATTGGGTAAAACTTATGGTGTTTTATTAAGATGTACTAAAGGGGAAAATGAGAAACAGCTCTACTTTTTTCTCTAAACCTAAACCATTGATGTACTCACAGTACTTAGTCAATGGTTAAACTGTAGGGCCTATTTTACGTGACTGTAAATTCCATAAAATAATATATCTAAAACAGTCCTCTTGGGCTTCTTAAATTGTCACCTTACACTGATGGGCAATATCTGTTAGTAAATCATTCCCAAACATTAACATAACGTTAACATGTCAAAGTTACAATTATTATTTCACTCTCTTCTAGAATCGATAATAATTCCTGTAATTCGTCTACTTTAATTACAGTTATTGTATTATTGTGGATGCTATGAAATAAATTCTTAGTATTCAACGTCCTGTGAACTCAAGTTTTTATTTTATAAGTCAGGTAAATACGAAAACAATTGCAAACATCTTGGATGTTCAATCCAAAGTAGCCTATCAGTAATTATTTTTTTCCCAGCCTGTAACGAATATTATTGTATTTCTACTATTTGATTTATAATGGATAAACTACCGAGAGTATTCAATTCGTCAAATAAAGTGTTACAAAAAAAACCCCTTTACTTATTCGGTGCAACCGATACTTACATTCCGAAGAAAAACCCGTAACCACCCGGTACAATCGATATATACATTCGTTATTTATGACGTCAGTATAAGGTTTCTGTACATGTGAACTTGTGCTCTCCATGACGGACGCCTGACGCACGCAGACAACAAATAAACAGAAAAAAAACATATTGTATTGGAAATTGGACAGGATTACAGGTTAAACAACATTCAAAACTAAATTATTTCTAGCCGTTGATTTAAAAAAATGTTGACAGTTTCTTGTCAATTTGAAAATCTTTGTAAAGATCAAATAGTAAAGTATCGGAGTTCAAAGGTAAGAAGTATGTGTGATTGTGTGATAGAGGCTGGACCTGGAATTCATGGAGTGCAAAATGGGATGGACTTAAAAATGCCTATACGCACCCAACTGCGTTCTAGGTTGAGATAACTGCGATCATAGATAAAACATACACTCCCTCAAGTCCAAGGTGGTCTGTAACTGCCTCACAACATGATTTTCCCTGGGCAAATGTAACACAGTAACGCTCTGATAGGTCCCTGGACAATCAGGCCTTCCAGGGACCTAACAGAGCGTTACTGAAGGAACGAGAACGAGGTGACTGACAAGTTGACAAATGTCAGCCCTAGACTTTGGAATTTATCATGGGTATGCATGTAAGTCAGTCTTGGCAGTGGCTCAGGAGAAGATGGGTTAGGCTTCAACATAGGGCAAGCCAGCTCACTGACTCACTCTTCTCCCCTTCCCAGACGGCAGACGGACCGGACCGGACGCCTCCAATGTTCTACGATTAGTCGATTAGACATGAGGCAACTAAGAAAGATTACAGGCCATGGCTTCCTGGGTGCAATCCCCCTACATCATTTGAGGATCTACAATGGAGATACTGCAATACTGCATGTAGGAAATGTGGGCAGTCTGATGAGACTGCAGAGCATATACTCTATGACCGCACAGCTCTGCATGAGGTCATGGAAAGCACTCTTGGTTTGTTGGAACAATGCCAAGGGGCTCTGGAGAAGCTCATAGTTAGGATGCTGCAATTAGGAACTCCAACTCAGGTTTGACAGGCTCTGGAGCACCAAGCAGGGAGGACAAAATGCCCATTTGTGGCTGACTGTATTGTGCACTAGGACAGGAGACAGGACAAGATCCACCTCAATCCATCAGTCAGTGAACTCTGTCAGTGGTCTTCACACTGGCATATATTGATATTTACAATATGATTAAAATAGTTTCAGGTCATTTAGAGTTTAAAATAAAAATGACGTGACAGAAATTTATTATTAGCTCTACTGTCCATGTGTGGGGGGGGGAGCAGCTGGTCTAGCAGTAGAGCTTAGGGCTTCAGAGCCCGAGATCCTAGGTTCAAATCCCTGCCAATCACTAATTGATTTTATCTATGTCATAATGTTGCAACCCTCTAGGACTAGCCTAAGTAATGTGTAAAACAGGCCCGGACTAGAATCTAGCGTCTTAGGATGTGATTTTGGGATATTTACAAAAAATTAAAATAAACATACTGACATCATTATCGTCTCCATAGTCATGAAAACGTCATTGTCGCCATGTACAATTGCGGTAAATCCAAAATTTTAAGTAGGTAGAAACACAAAATTTAGGCATTTTACCCTGTCTTGAAATTTTTATATGAAACTGGCAAAGTTTTTTACAATCTTGGTAAAAAAAAATTAAAATTACTGCCATTTTAAACAAATATTCTTTTTTATTATTTGTTTACAAATACTTTATTTTAATGAAGTAGCTTATTGCTACTTTATTTAGTCACTGTACATACAAAATTTTAAATAAAGATATCTTTGATATTTTAGGAGGTACTGTATACATTTTTACATACTAAAAAACAAAATAGAAAATTCTCACAATTTGCTACAATCAGCAACAAGGCATTTTTTTTAAATTTCTTCTTCATTCTCGGTTAATTATGACCCATAAAACTATCTCGGGAGTTTGGCTGTTTACTTACAGGACATTCTTTAAGTCAAATATATGACTTGTAACAAAAAATCATAACTATATAAGGAAGAGATTATCTCTTATTTATTCAATTCAAAAAAATTATGTCCTTGCAGATCATTACAAAATTATTCACCTCTTCCCTAAAGTTTATCCACTTGTGTACTTTTTTTCAGTAGAGGGTAAACAGGTTTCTTAACACTCTACACAACTTTGGTAGCTATATATTCACCAAGCATTTTTTCACACCTAAATGTTAGAGTTTGTATTCAAAACACATTATATTACATTTAAAAAACAAAACAAGATTAATTTACTAGATCTTTACCAGGATATTGCTGCATATGCAAACCTTTGAAGCTCCCACTGCTGCAGTATTTAGGGTACTGTACTTTCCTGTTAAAGGGAACATTCATTGATTTTTTTCTCGAAGAATCAATATTAACAAATTGAAACATATCAGCTGACAACTGATAAATATTGTTCAGTACAGACAATAATGAAATGAAATTGTAAAAAAAAATAACTTAACATAACTAACCAAACTTGCTGTAACATTTAAAAATTCCGTGATTAACTTGGGTACCTTTTCTATTATCAAACCCAAACGTAATTTTTAAATGGTAAGTCGTTATGTTAGCTTAGAACAGTTTCATTTCTTAATCCATATAATAGACTATTTTAGCATAAACAAGATCAGTTAGTTGTTGTGAATTCATAATAGACCCGAAAACAAAAATATCGATATATTGAAAAAATCATTGATAATAATGAATGTAAAGTACCGTATTCAGGCAATAAGCTGTTGTGGTCAAAGTACTAGTAGCTTGAATGAGTAAATACTCCTGGTAGAAATGTCAAATGGCAAGTTTGATTTCGGTGGATGTGATTAACAGATATAAACATCTAATACAGGTTATCAATCAATAAATCAAGAAGAAGGTTTGAACGTTAGAAGGAAACATGTCAATCAGCTAATTTTAAAACATTTATTTATTCTTAAACTATACAAGGAGATCCAAAACAAATTGATAAATAAAGCTCTAATACAAAGTACAAAAAGTTAGACATGTTAAAACTATAATACAAGGTGTGCAAAGAAATGTCTGTCTAGAACGCATATCTTGTGCGAATATCTTCCAACTTCTTTGATACCTCGGACGGTGTTCGGTCCAAATCCTCTGCAATACTCTTTTGTTTCGCCGAGTCTATGGCGTTATACTGCTCACATAGGTCTCCATCAATCACATTCTGCAAAAAATAAATACAAAAATTAACAGAATTATACTTAACTATCTACAACTTTTAGTATACCCACAAGTTTTTAGAAGAAAATTTGATGATGAAAAACCACTACTAAAACAGTTAAAAACATGATTTTTTTACAAAATTTTATGCAGATAGAAACTTGGGAGTTGACTTTATAGAACCAGGAATAGTCTTTTTGAACAATGAAATAACACAGAAAATAATTGAAGAATTTAAACAGACACCGATGTGTACATAAATATCTACCGACC